CCTTCTTGTAGATGGGTGTCACAGTTGGTAATCTCCTTTCCACTGGAACTGCCCTTTAAAAGAACTGTGTGGCTTCTTCAGCCCCTGCCAAGCCAGCACCTGTGGCAGCACCAGTGCCTCCCCCGGAAGGGGAACCAGAGGGGGACAAGCCAGTGGGGGATGACCACTACTGCGAGATGCTGTGCTGCACGTTCAAGTACCGACCCTGGCTGGACCGCCTGAAAAACTACCGGTTCCCCAGCAGCATCGACCCACTCACCAGTGAGTGATGGGGCAGGGCCATGTGCCTGCGTAGGGCCAAGCTGGTGGGGCTGGGGGAGAGGAGGGGAGGAGGTACAAAAGATGAGACCTTGTAGAGAAGGGAGGACAGCGAAGCAAGGGGCAACTTAACTTATGCCTGTCTGCTGAAAACCAGAGTCTGAAATTCCCCTGCAAGGCACAGGCTTTCCTAAATACTTCCCGATAGCTGTGGGTGCCGGGAGCATGACCAGGCAGGGAAGGGGCAGCTGCCTTCTACTTTTCAGGCTTTTAGTGGGAGAATGCTGCTCCTGTGGTGTGGAAAAACCCCTTTGCTTAGAGGATTCACACAGGCAAGGGATGTGTGCCCAGCTAATCGTGGTGCGGTTCCCTGTGTGCAGACCTGATGTACGTGCTGTGGCTGTTCTTCGTTGTCATGGCCTGGAACTGGAACTGCTGGTTGATCCCCGTCCGCTGGGCCTTCCCCTACCAGACACCGGCAAACATCCACTGCTGGCTGCTCATGGACTACCTCTGCGACCTCATCTATCTGCTGGACATCCTCGTCTTTCAGACCCGGCTGCAGTTCGTCCGGGGAGGGGACATAATAGTGAGTGGCAGTGCGCTGCATCCCACTGCTGCGGACTGGCTGCGGGGACCCCATCCCTGTCACCCCGAGCAGCGTGGATGGTGCTGGTCCCTGATCCCTGCATCGAGCTCCCCAAGCTCTCCCACTGTGGCCGTGGACATCAGGGCTGTGTCCACTCTTGGAAGACTGCACGCACTGATCCTGCCATGTAGTGGATAAGCCAACAATCTTTTTGTCTGCCAAACATACTATTTTTCCCCTCAAGTAAATACTAGCCCATCTAGACAGCATGTCCATGGGTTGGGATGCTCAGGGGGTGCTGCTTGGCAGGAGCGTCTTGCCAGCGGTGCGGTGAGGTGCACGCCGACCAGCCCGGGTGCAGCCGTACGCTGCTAACCACGAGCAGATGGCATGATAAACGCAGGGTTTAATTTTCCGTAGCACAGCTAGGCAGAATGCGTTAGCGATATGACAAAAGCAATTGCAATCTGAATGCACAGATTATGCGCCCGAGATAAGTGAAAGCCCTTGATTTAGTTTCCATATCCAATTAAATAAGCTGTGAAAAATAAAACCTGGAGGGTACAGCCTTCCCATCGCCCATGCAGATTGTCAGACAGGGAGGTTTCTTCTGTGTACTCTGACTTTTGTGGTGCTGGCACTGCAATGTGCTTCCTCTGGGATGCAAAATGAATGGGATGTCCCGAGATAGGATGGGAAGATGGCACAGGATCGGGTCTTCTTCTGCTCCTCTTGATCCGCTCCCTTTTCCAGGCACAAAGGAAGCATCTTCTCTGCTGTGGTGCAGAAGAGGAAAGCCAGGCAGGCCCATGTTGGCCATGACTTTCCTTGCTGCAAGCAGTGATCAACCTTCCCCTCTCTCTCTCCTTCTTACTGCCAACCAGACTGATAAAAAGGCCATGAAAGAGAACTACCTGCAATCACAACGCTTTAAGGTTTGATGTAATTTTGTTTATTAATCTGAACCGTGGCTTGCAGCTTCCCCCCTCCCCGCACCTTGCCTGCAGGTCTCCACAGAGGTTTCTCTCTTTGTGTGGATTTCAGATGGACGTGGTATGCCTCCTGCCCCTGGATTTCTTCTACTTCAAAGTCGGTGTCAACCCACTCCTGCGTTTTCCTCGCTGTCTGAAGGTGAGTCAGAGCTTACAAAATCAGGCAGACACCAGCAGCAGAGGATGTGAAGGAGTCCCACGCTGGTTGGGGTAAGCTATGGCTTGCTAGGCTCATCCATGATGACAAGAGGATTGTAAAATGGGTGGGAAGTCTTGTCCCAAAGGCTTCACAGGGCGGTTGGTCAAACACTTCATTTCTACCCTAAAACATGCTTACATTAGAACAGAAGGGCACTTCCAGATGGAGCCAAATCTGTCCATGGCAGTTCATGCTGCAGTGGGGCTGCAGGAGGGAAACGGAGGGGGAGTGGGGTTTTATGGGGGTGTCATGCTCCTGGCGGGGGCTGCGGGAAGCTGGAGCATGCTGCTTTCCTTCTCCCAGTATATGGCCTTCTTCGAGTTCAACAACCGCCTGGAAGCTATCCTGAGCAAGGCATACATCTACAGGTGAGAGGGAGGGAGGGAGGGAGGGTGGAGTTGCTGTTTGCTATGGGAGAAGAAGGTTCACTTTGGTGTGCAACTCGTTACGGGTTTCTGATTTATCTTCCCACTGTCGCTGGACTGGCTGATGTGGCACTGGCTGATGCAGGTGGGATGGGGGGGTCCTGGAGCCCATGTGGGTAGGATCCCCTCTCCCCAGCCCAGCAGGGACAGGGGTACTGGAGTGAAGGGGAGCCACCAGTGGATGAGCTGCTTTTTTCTAGCACTTCTGGAGGTGCAGAGCAGCGGGAGGGAGCAGTGGGGCCGCATGTTTGGGTGCTCAGTGGCTCCTGCATCAACAGGATCTGCATGGTCAGCACTCGGCTCATCCCTTCAAAGCTCCTTAAAGGATGGGGGGGCGGGAGATCTGATGTGTTTCTCCCAGATGACACCGTATCATCTCCCTGCTCTCCCCTGGTTTTTGCAGAGTGATTCGGACCACTGCCTATTTACTGTACAGCTTGCACGTGAACTCCTGCCTTTACTACTGGGCATCAGCCTACGAAGGACTGAGCTCTACCACCTGGGTCTATGATGGGGAAGGAAACAGGTACAAGCCAGGGCTTCTGAGCTGAAGCAAGAAGGAAGGAGTTAGGATGCAGCTGGATTCATAAAAACCCTGGAAGCAAAGGGTTGAGGGTGTCAGGAGATGTGGAGCCAGAGAGAACGATGGGGATGGGAGGGGTGGTATGCGCAGTAATGTACAATGCTGCAGGACAAAGAGGCAGCAGATGGGCTGGGATGGAAGGCAAGGGCAGGTCGAAGAGGCTGAAAAAAATGGGAACCTGGTGCTGGGAAACAAGGAAACACTCCTTGACTGAACAGGAGAGCAGTGTGAGCCGTGCTTCAGTTCATGTGGAATAGATGGAGGCTTGGAGGTCAGGATGGAGGCTTGAAGCCGTGTGCTCTAGGTGCCATGTGTCAGGCCCCTTGGACCAGCCCAGCACCCTTATTCCCAGGGTACGAGGCAGGAGCAATGGGGCACCCCATCCCCTCGCCATGGCAGTTCCGCTGGTGTTCATTGCGCTGTCAGTGATGGGTGCCGCAGGGGGAGCACTCGGCTCACGAGTTGAACACCACCTCGGAGCAAATGCCCACGCCTGCGTGTTGTACAGCATGGGCAAAATGAAACAGCGAGTAACATGTAATTAATTTACCACCATGCAGTAAATGAGTTTCCTGAAAAAAAAAAAAGGGGTGGGCAAGTGCATTAAAGAATTACCGTGAGGTGTGGGTGCAAGTGGGGACAAGTGACTGTCACCCAGGCAGCCTTAGTGCTGGTGTTGCCCACTCTTTGAACACTCAGCTTCCCACGTGATTGTTGCTGCTACATGCTTATTGTGTGTAATATGCATATCTGCATCTATCTCTAGGTGTAACTATAACATCCAAGGCAGTGCCCAGGAACAGTGCATCAAGAATTCACTTGACATTTCCTGAGTCTCATACCAACAATTTGCTCACAAACGCTTTTTTCCCCCCCTCATTATTTCTCAAAGTGTAAATGTTGCTGAAAATAATTGCTGGTTTATGGTAGTGGGGCTGAAAGAAGCAGAAAATGGGAGTAGCCAGAGCAGGTGAGCCTCCTGCGTGGAGGTTTCTGGAGGGTCCCTACATCCTGTAGCATCTCCAGAAGCACCTGCAGGTGGGAGGGGGGAGTCTGCAGCCCCTTAATTGTCCCTTTATCACCTGTAATTATTCTCAGCAGGCTGTGGATTGCCATGGCCAGAGGATGTGAGCTCGGTACCGAGGCATGAAGCAGACTTTCCTTGCCACAAACACCTTCAAATCTGCCTGCTCTTTTCCTCCCAGCTACATCCGATGCTACTACTGGGCAGTCAAAACCCTCATCACCATTGGGGGGCTGCCGGACCCCAAGACACTGTTCGAGATTGTCTTCCAGCTGCTGAACTACTTCACAGGCGTCTTCGCTTTCTCTGTCATGATAGGGCAGGTGAGTGGGAATCGCAGGGGGGTCCCCAGCCTTAGGCGAGGAAGGGTTTGGTGGGGTTGGTCCACAGGTCTCTATCTCCAGGTTTGTTTTCCCCGTGTGAGGACCTGCTCAGCACTGGCAGAAGACAAAGGACTTGGCAGATGCTGTTAGGACTCGGCATATGTGCTCTAGACCACTTAACCTGTGCGATGGATAAAAACCAACAATTAAAACATCTCTTCCTCCCATTCAGATGAGAGATGTGGTCGGTGCTGCTACTGCAGGGCAAACTTACTATCGGAGCTGCATGGACAGTACCATCAAATACATGAACTTCTACAAAATCCCCAAAACTGTGCAGAACCGAGTGAAAACGTGGTACGAGTACACGTGGCATTCGCAAGGCATGCTAGGTGAGCTCCAACTGTTCCGAAGGTTAACACTTGCACTGCATGTGTTTTACCATGGTTGCTTTGCAGGGTCGAAATGTTACTGTCAAACAGCACTAGTTTCAGGGCAGAGTGGCTTATTTTACTGTTCACTATAGGTGCCTGTTTGCCCACCTATAGAGTATATAGGCTGCCATCGGGTCACAGCGCCATGGTGACCTGGTATCTCTCACAGTGCACTGAATCCAGCATCCCTCACGGAGTCCAACATCCCACCCTAGGTCCCGGAGAGGGCAGGGACTGGCAATCCCAGACCAGAGTGTGTCCAACAGCAGACCCACTAGCTCACCCTATCAGTAAAGCATCAGGCAAGACCCCTCTGCCTGCTCTGGGCTGGCTTGGGCTCACCGATCTGTCTCTGGGAGCTGTGAGGGCAGGGATAATGCAGGGGTGGCTCTCCTCACCCTTTGGCTTTAGACCTACAGGTTGCAGGGTGGGCAGAGGTTACAGGAGACCCTTCTGGCTGAATAGCTCCTGCCCTCTGCCACCAAAACATGGGCTGCTTTCCCACTGTTATGCCACCAACACACTGTGACATCGAGTGCTGGAAACTACCAGTTTTCTGCTTTATCTCACAGATGAGTCGGAGTTGCTGGTGCAGCTGCCGGACAAGATGAGGTTGGACATCGCTATCGACGTGAACTACAACATCGTGAGCAAAGTGGCCCTCTTCCAGGTACCCTCTGCAGCACAGGTCCCGGCCAGTGGAGCCTGGCATGCTGGCACAGACTAACAGTGCTCTTGGCTCTGCTTCGGCTCAGGGCTGTGACAGGCAGATGATCTTCGACATGCTGAAGCGGCTCAGATCGGTGGTCTACCTGCCCAAAGACTATGTGTGTAAGAAGGTAATGAGATGCTCGGGTGCCCACCCATCCCCGGTGTCACTGCCAGGCTGCGCAGGGCACTAGGAGCAATGCGGGGAAAGCCAAGCCTGGCCCATCACCGCGGCATTGAGCCACTTTCTGGGCATCCCACGTAGCACCCATCTTCACTGCAGGGAGAAATCGGCCGCGAGATGTACATTATCCAGGCGGGACAAGTGCAGGTGCTGGGGGGACCCGATGGCAAAACCGTGCTGGTGACTCTGAAAGCTGGATCTGTGTTTGGAGAAATAAGGTGAGGAGCCAAGGAAATGTGGCTCACAGGCTCTGGATGAGGGTGGTGGGAGACGGGGAGATCAGCACCCTGATTAATCGTCGTGATTGAGAGCCACAAACACTGAGCAGCGTCTGCTACACAAATTACAGCCCTTTTCTTTTCCACTATTTTTGTCATCATGCTGTTTTCTGCACAGGGAGTTAGTGACAGTACACAGAGGTGTACGGAGGGATGGGAAAATGAATAAGAAAAGATGTTTCACTAAAACAGCCCCCACAGCCATTAATCTGCCCATTTCATGGACATGTGAAGTCCTGTACCAATTCATAAGCGATAGTTTGCATCCCTACGGCCCAGCAGACACTGGGCTGGTGTAAAATACAATATTTAAACCTTCAAAAAGGCAAATAATTTTTTTATATAGCGCTCCACGACAACATTTCCGGACATTCTTTAAATACTGGGCTTAGAAAATTTCATCAAGGGGTGAAAATTAAACTCTAAGTCCTCTGAAAGAGAGAGTTCAGGGGACACGGTGGGAAAAGGGAGATTTGAAATTACAAATGCTGTGCTGAGCCTGTCAATAACAGTGCTGATGTCTCGCCACGTCTCTCTCAGCTTGCTGGCAGCAGGAGGGGGAAATCGCCGAACAGCAAACGTCGTAGCTCACGGCTTCGCTAACCTCTTCATTTTGGATAAGAAGGACTTGAACGAGATTTTGGTGCATTATCCAGAGTCTCAGAAGCTGCTGCGTAAGAAGGCCAAGTGCGTGTTGGGCTGCTGCTTTCTAGCCTGTGGGGGTTCAAAAAAAGCAGAGTCTGGGTTTCAGGATCACAGGGGAGATTTCTGCCTGTGTGAAGCACTGGGAAAACTACTGCTGCTGGTGCCAGGCATTAGGCACTCATGCCGGGAGGAGAGCTGGGCTGGAGCTGCTGTCTTTTGGCAGATGGCACAGGTCCCTCGCTGCTGGCTGGGCAGGCTGGAGGTGCCTGGAGCCAGCCCAGCCCTGCTGCAAAGCTTCACCACTAAAAGCGGGTGGAACTCGGGAACAAATGTGGCCAAAGTGCATGCATTTAAAAATCAGTTAAAATACTCACTTTAGTTTTTAGCATCACTTAGATCTGTCCTTCATAAGGTGCAAAAAGTCCCTGTCCTTTCAAGGTCTGATTTTTCTGCATTATAAAATCCAGCTAATACAGTGTGTCCCTGGACTGAAATCAGCTCTCCTTTTCCTTGCTGTAGGAAAATGCTGAAAACCAACAATAAACCCAAAGATGAGAAAGCAGCAGCTGGAGACTCACTGATCATCCCCCCAAAAGCTGACACCCCGAAGCTCTTCCAGGCTGCCCTGGCTGCTGCAGGGAGGATGGGGGGCAGAGGGCAGCTGGCACAGCTCCGGTGGAGGCTGAAGGCGATGCAGGCGACACAGGTCAGTGCAGGGGGTAAAGGAATTTGGCTTTGCTTCGTTAGAGTCCCTGCTCTCCCTGACCAGCTCTACAGACTGTCGTTAAGGTGTCTTAAAGGAGTGAGCTCAGGTCTGACCCAGTGAGGGGAGATGGGAAGGGGAGGTCCAGCATCTTACACATAGCCTTGGGTGTCCCACAGGGGTTTGTTTTGCAACAAAGAAGGGAAATACATTGACTTTTTGCCCAGCTGTGCTAAGCCTGAGCCTAGTTTCTAGCTGGGCTATAGCCACAGGCGAACATCTCTTCGTGCCATGGAGGCAGAGCCACCCATAATTAATCAAAGTGCTGGCAGGACGGAGAGCGATGCTGGCATCCAGCATCCCCAGCCCAGTCAATATTTGCAAAGCTTTCACAGCATGGTTGGGGCAGAGGCCCCCAGCAGCGGGCACAGCAACCTGCCAGCTCTGCGTGAGCTGCGGTGAAACCACCTTTGCTTTTTTATCATCAGCAACTGAAAAAGAGAATGGCCCTGCTCCTCTTTTTTGTTGTTGTTTTGCTTCCACGTGTCTCTGCTGAACTTGGAAAAAAGGTCATGTCTCCCTGCAGACCTTGTTACTCTTCCCAGCGTGGAGTTAGCGGAGTCTCACATCTGTACGTGTAAAGGGAGGTGAAAGAGCAGCAGATAGGGAACGTGATGGCCTTGAGGCTGGGTAAATATCCCGGGAGACGCTGAGCATAACTGCATTTCTGCAGTCCTTCACGGAAGCACAACGGGGCTTCACACGATGTGGTGCTTAACACTAGCTAATAACCAGCTAAAGGCAGTGCTGAGGAATGGCACCGCGTGCTCCATACCAGAGCGGATGCCAGAGGTTAGCAGGACCCCATTAGAAGGACATCCCTCCCCATGGCACGTCCATAGGTGAGGTTCCTGAAACTCCTCTTTAAAGGAGGCTTTAGGGCAGGGCAGTCTGGGGCTGCTCCCTCACAGCAACACTTTTGCCAAGCTTTTGCCAAAATCAACCCCTCCAGATGCTTCAGGAGCAAAACAAGAGTTAGTGCAGGAGGTGCCAGACAGCTCCGTCGCGCTCATCTCTCGCGCTCACTGCTCTCGAGATCTGCAGGATATAGAGGATATCTCTCGAGGATATCGAGGATATCTCTCGTCACTGCTCTCGAGATGTGCAGGATATCATCCGGCTGCCCTTCCCGCAGGGGCCGTCTCCAGCAGGAGGCTGACATCCCGGTGATGAGGTCCAGTCCAGTGAAACTCTGCGTGACACCCGCCTGGCTTGCACAGCGCAGACGCCGTGGCTGGGGGTAGTGGACAAGGGTCTCCTTCAACTGATTTTTTTGCCTTTTTTTGGTTTTGGATTGCAGGGTTCCAGTTTCAGTCCGACCCCACCGAAATCACCAGTGCACCAGCGATCGCCTGTCGCCTCCCACAAAGCACACACCCACCTGGGAGAAGAAATATTCTCAAAATCTTCTGACAGTTTAGTCACCATTCGTGTGATTTCTACGGCACAAGAGGATGAAGAAATCCTTGCTGCTGAGATTTCGGAGAAAGAAGAAGAAGAAAAAGAAGAGAAATGAGAAACAAGCAGGTCCTGGGGCTGGAGTAGGAGTCAGGCAAACGCCTGGGGTAGATGCTTTTTGTCGTTTGCAGTGGCTGTAGGTTTCACTGAGTGCTGCAGGTAGGATCTGCCTTTCCTTTCTGCCTAGACCTTCACCCACTGCTGATAAAACCCTCTGCCACGTGACCCAGAACCATACAAGGTTTCTGTGCTCTGGGGATCTATTTTTATTGACCATCTTTATGAATATTCCCACTAAATCTCAGGCCAGCCTTCTTGCTTTGGAATCCAGCCTTACAGAGAGGGAGCCCTGAAGAAATTGCTTTTTATGGCTCTGGATGGTTAATGAGTGTTCGGATTAAGCGTGAAGAGTTATTCACCTCTGACAGCTGAGTCACCGCTTGGCCAGAAACAACCAGGGAAATAAAACAACAAGGTTTCTCTGTTGGGCTCAAGGTTGTCGGCAGCAGCTGGGGAGTGAATCATCCCAAAAGGATGTGGACTATGCTCACAAGCCAAGCACAGACCAAATCACACAAGAAGGCCGAAGTCCATCCCGGTGTCAAGGTGGTTGAGGGTCCCTGCGTGGTGCCAAGGCCTCCTTGGGTTTGTGGCTGGGAAGAGGAGCTCCTGTCAGCCGGCCACCCCGGTGGGCATTGGGCTCTCCGACACTGGTGGCTGTTTGGAGATTTGGTGAGCACCCTTCAGGAATGGAGAAGCATAAGACTGGATGAGGAGATATTCCTGGAGATCCCTTCCAGCCCTGGGTTTCTGTGGGTGCACCAACCTGCTGATGCCAGAGGGATAAACAGAGTGCAGAAAGGGATAATCCACATTGGTTTCCAGCTGGGACAGGAAAGAGAAGTGCAATTAAGTATTCTCCTCTCCCAGTCAGTGTTTCAGAGTCAGGCCATAGCCCGTAGTGTGCAAACAAGCATGCACAAGTGTGCAGGTGGTCCCCTGCGCTCATTGCTGGACCTCAGTGACCTGCCACAATTCCAGCAGCCCATTTCCAGCCCCTTTCAGTCACTTGATTGGCTTTTGGCCACGTTTCCCATGGAGAAGCCACTCGGGTCTTGCTCATGGCTGCAACAGGATGCTTGTGAAGGCGCTCTCCCAGCCAGCTGGGAGTGGGTGCTGGATGGGAAGGAGCCCACAGACCCAGCTGATGGGTTGCTGCGTCTAATTGTTCTCCAGCACCACCACTTCCTCACCTTCCTCAAACCCAGGCGACCCGAGAGGCGGTGAGATGATCCAGACCCTCCCCAAGGTTTCGGACGGCCAGGTCTCCATGGCACTGCCAGCTCCATCGAGAGGAGAAGCTGGGGCAGGTTTTGCCACAGGGAACAGCCCCAGAGCATTGGCAAAGGGACTCTTCAGGTGTTCAGCAAACCCTGTGAGCAGTGCTGCAGGTTTCACAGGTCTGGCCCTGAGACAGCTGGGCTGTTTGGGAAGAGTGTCAGCACCAGCATCACCCCTATACATGGGTGATCCCTCTTCCCATCAGCAGCCTGGAGCTGATCTTCGCCTCCTACCAGGTCTTCTTTTGTGTATTTTTTCCCCTTTCTTGCAAAATAGATGGGTTTCTGTGGTGGAAAAAGCCAGAATATATGTTAATGTTAAATAATGATGGCTTGCTCTCTTTTAAGCAAATCTAGTGAGCTCCAATATACCGCAGGAGGGTCTGAAGCCACCACTGCCCTTAATGTGGCTGGGGAAAACCCGGTCTCACCCAAACCTCCCTAAATATTTCTTGACCTCAGTGCAAGTAGTTTCCTGCTGGGTAGAAGGTTTTGGTGGAGAGTGCAAAAATATTTTTTTTTCCTTTATATAATCAAACCAGGAAACACGCAAAAATCAAACTGAAGTTCTGATTTGCGGCTACGATTTGATAAGGTTTAGAAAAAGCGTTTAAATAAATAGTCGGCTGTAATGGCTTTCATAATTCTCTATATCTACAATAAACACCACGTAGATTGCCGTTCATTTGCTGTGGATTCGTTTCAAAATTCCAGTTGTTTTCCATCTTTTTGCCCACTGATGGAGCCTGGGAAGTCCCTGTGAATGGGTGGTTCACAGATTTACCAATAAACTTTCTGGAGACTCGGAGGTCACATAATAATAGTGGTAGAATTGTTATATTTTGTTAATCACCGGAAGGAGGGAAATACAAGCTTTCTTAGATGGCAAATACTTGTGTGAAGATCTCAATTTTCAACGTGCAGTATTAGGTGGTGATGGATACATAACTGGTAATTCTGGAACTGCCAGGAGATTTGAAGTTATCCTCCTCTGCGATCTGTTTACAGCTTTAGTTCTTTGGAGAGATTATTCTCCAGGTAATAATTAAGGTCAAGGTAGGGTTGGGCTTTACAGGCTGGGTTGGAGAGTTGAGCTCAGCTCTGTTTGCTGCGCAGGACTATTCAGAAATGACAGGTGGGCTAAGGAGGTGGGCAGCTCGCTTAGTGCCTCTTGTTTCGGGGGGTGCCATAAATCGGCTTTCCGCTGAATTTTGCAATTCTATTCGTCTACCGGTTTTGCTGTATTTGCAATGGGCTCCCTTTGCCTTGGTTCCTATTAAATATCTTGCAGCGTGCACTTGTCACAGGTCTGTTCCTTCCACTGCCCTTGTAATGTTCCTGGTGGATTTGGTAACGCTCCATATATCTTTACTGCGTTTCTTACTAGCTTTTGCTCATTTTGCTTTGCTGCCGTTAAGCGTTGGATGGATCTGATAGGAGATCCTTTAATTATATTAATGCAGTATTTGGGAGATCTTGCCGGACAGTTACTTATTGCCAGGCCATCATCCTGGAAATTCTGCATTGCAGTCTTCCTCCTGACTTGTATTTCTGATTAGCGGATTTCTCAGAGGTCCACACTCACAGAAACCAGCTCTTCTTGCAAGGATATTTTAGCTGTTGCTGCTTTTGAGTGAAAAAAGTGGAATAGGTAACTGCTGAAGGAAAAAACAGAGCTTGCTGTTGTTGGATCTGTATTCATGTGTTAGGTTTTGCCTCACTATCACAAGCAGCATCTTTACTGGAGGCTCTGTATATACTATTGTAATATATATATACACACATTTTTTATACTGGTGTATTCATATTCCTTGTGGCCTGTGCTGTTTGCTCTTTCAGAAAAGTGATACTGAGTTAAAGAAGAATATCTCCCATAAAAAAATCAACATACAAAAGGAATAATACAACCCGCCGTAGACACCTGACTGCGGAGGAAGTTGTTTTCCTCCAGCTAGAAACAGGGCAGGTAGCTTCTCTGTATTTATAGCCAGAGCAATCTTTTAAAAAGATTAAGTGCAATTGCAGGTTAATCACTGATAAGGTTATAACGAAAGTAAAAACAAATAAGCAGGTTTGGGGATTAGACTTGGGTCTAGAAAGAAATTGCAGGATAAATGGAAAGCCCAGTTAAATGGTGTTTAATTAGAAAGCTTGAAAT